CCTCTCCCCCGCCCTACCTCCTCTATCAAACCCTTCCTCCCCCCTGCCCTACCTCACCTCTATTCCTACCCCTCCGCCTCTACCTCCCCCTCTATCCCTCCCACCTCTATTAAAACCCCTCCGTCCACGCGCCACCCTAGCCTCACCGCTAGTTAACCCCTCCCCTGCTCCATACCTCACTCTCATTCTACCCCTCCTCCCCTATCTCACCTCTATGAAAAACCCGCTCCTCCCCGCGCCCTATCTCACCTCTATTCAACCCCTCCCTCCGCCCTGCCTACCTCACCTTTATTTCCACCTCTCTTCCCCTACCTCACCTCTATTAAAATCCCTTCCTCCCTCGCCCTACCTCAACCTCTCATTAAAACCCTTGTCCCCCCGCCCCTACCTTTCTTTCCAAACCCCTCCTCCGCCAGCACTAGTTCTGCCACCTCACCTCTTTAAAAACCCTCTTCCCCCTGCCCCTAGCTCACTCTCTATACCTTACCTCTCTTTCCCCTACCATACACCTCTATTAAATCCTCTGCTCTATCCTCTATCCGCCCTACCTCACCTCTGATTAAAAACCCCTCCTCCCTTGCCCTACCTACGCTCTATTCCAGCCATCATTCCCCTGCCCTACCTCAACCTCTATCTCCAATCCCTCCTCATCTCCACTCTTAACCTCAACCTCTATTCCCACCCCTCCTCCCCCGCCCTACCTCACCTGTATTCCCAACCTCTCGTTCGCCTACCGTCACCTCTTATAAACCTCTTCTTCCTTTCGCCAACGCCTTTACCTCACTCTCTTATTAAATCCCCCTCCTCCCTCGTCGCCTTACCTTGCTCTCTCTATTTCCTACCCCTTCCTCTCCCTGCCCTACCTTCTCATACTCTATTCCAACCCCGGCTCCCCTTGGCCCCAACCTTCACCTCTATATTATAACCATCCCTCGCCCCGTCTATACCCTTACCTCTCTATTCCCTACCCCTCCTACCCCTGCACCTTACCACACCTTGGGCTAGTTGGTAGCGCGGGCTGCTATTCTACTCTCACGCTTATTAAAACCCCTCCTCCCCCTTAGCCCTACCTCTCCTCTGATTTGCCAACCCCTCCTCCCTGCTCCTACCTCACCTCTTATTCCTACCTCTCTTACATAGTTGTCGTCGTACCTCAACCTCTATTTAAAACCCTTCCTCCCCCCGCCCTACCTCACCTCTATTAAAACCCCTCGTCCACCCTTGCCCTACCTCACCTCTTACTTCCTACCCCTCTTTCTACCTCACCCTTTATTAAACCCCCTCTCGTCCCTCCTGCTCTTACCTCACTCTTATTAAAACCGCCTCCTCTCCCCCTGCCCTACCTCCCTGCTATTCCTACCTCCCTTCCGCCTACCTCACCATCTAGTTAAACCCCCTTCCTCCCCCCGCATACCTCACCATTTCATTCCTACCTCTCTTTTCCCTACCTCACCTCTATTAAACCCCTCCCTCCCCCCCCCGTCACTGCCTTACCTCACCTTATTAAACCCCTCCTCCCGCCTGCCGTACCCTGCACCTTCTATTCCTACCCTCTTCCGCCTACCATACCTCTTGTTTAAACCCCCTCCTCCCCCGCCATACCTCACCTTTATTCCTACCTCTTCTTTACCCTACCTCCACGCTCTATTAAACCCTTCCTACCCCTTGCCCTACCTCACCTTATTCCCTAGCCTCTCTTTCGCCTACCTCACCTCTGCATATAAGCCCCTCTCTCGCCCCGCCCTACTGTCACCTCTAATAAACCTTCCCATTCTTCCTCCCCGCCGCCCTACCTCTCCTCTATATTGTTACCCCTCCTCCCCCGCGCTCTACCTCTCCTCTATTCCTTACCTCCCCGCTGATGTGCCTACCTCACCTCTTATAAACCCCCTCCTCCCCGCGGGCCCCTACTCTTCCTTATTTCAAAACTCCCCTCCTCCCCATGCCCTACCTCACCTCTATTCCTAGCTCGCTCCTCCCCTACCTCACGCTCTATTTAAAACCCCTCCTCCCCCACCCTACCTTCACCTCTATTAAAAACCCTTTCCTCGCCACATGCACCTACCTCACCCTCTATTCCTACCCCTCCTCCCCTACCTCACCTCTATTTGAAAACCCCTCCTCCCCCGCCTACCTCTCCTCTATTTCCAACCCCTCCTCCCCCGGCCCTACCTCACCTTCTATTCCTACCCCTCCTTACCCTTACCTCACCTCTTATGAAAACCCCTCCTCCCCCGCCCTTTTTATAATAAGTGTACTCACCTCTATTAAAACCCCTCTTCCCCCCGGCCCTACTCTCTCTATTCCAAACACCTCCCTCCTCCCCCTGCCCTACCTCACCTCTATTCCTACCTCTCTTCCCCTACCTCACCTCTATTAAAACCCCTCTTCCTCCGGCCCTACCTCACCTCTATTAAACCCCTCCTCCCCCCGCCCTACCTCTCATCTATTCCAACCCCTCCTCCCCCTGCCCTACCTCACCTCTATTCCTACCTCTCTTCCTTGAACTCCTATTCAGGGTCTCAAGTTTCAAATCTTGCTCGCACTCCTACCACCACCCCTGTCCAACTCTCACTCTGTACCCTTGCTCATACTCTCTCTCCCATGTTCCCCTAGCCCTGCTTCCTCCTCCTACACTGCTGCTACTCTTGCTCCTACCCCTACCCCTGTCTTATCCCCATGCCGTCCACCCCCTGACCCATCCCTAGACTGATCCTGTCTCTGTCCCAACCTACCACCGTTTTATTCCAAATACCTCTGAGCTTTAACTTCTGCTTTACTCTACACTGGTTTAGCTTACCTTCCTTCGCCTCACACAGGAAACAACTACAATGTGTCAATATAGGTATCTATATATCTATATCTATCTATGATATATACATATATATATATATATACTGCACACGACACTCACCTACTGGTCTATTATCGCACGTGGCCACTAGGTGGCGCTCATTGATCTAGCTGTAGCTCGTCGGTCGTAGCACGCGGGTCACGTCTATATAGAGGCAGGATCTGATATGAATTGGTATTTACGCGTGCTCTGTGTGTGCGTGTCGCTCCACCCGTTATAGCCGCACGAACGCACGAGGTGTGCGTGCGTGTGCGGGTGTATGTGTTTGTGTGCGGGTGGGGAGTGGCGTCACTGTGCATGCTTTCTCACCGCTGTCTAACCTGACTTCTGATTCATGAATGCACGGGGGATTCTCTGCATGCCGTGTTACACTGCTTTGCACCACGTTTGCATGACTGGAAGCGCGGCGTCCCTTGGCGACGGTCCGGCTGACAAACTCTGCATGACGGATCTACGGAACAACCTATATAGTCTAGAACTAGTCTAGAACTCTCTAGCGTGGTTTAGGGTCAAGGCGTTCTCTTGTTTGTCGTAATCCGACCGACGTGTCGCGCGAAGGATGTTCTCGTTACATTACGCTGCGCTGCGACGGCGATCGCGTCACATGCACTGCAAATTCAAGTGCTGTTTGCTTGCCTGCGTCGTGACGCGGCGGCGGATTACTTTAGGCGAGAGACGGGTGGTTCGCTCGTCGTAGTTCTGTTAGCAGCACGTGAGTGTGGTACCTTGTTTTCAGGAGTGCGTCCAGACATGCGTGTTTTCGGCCTTATTTGAACGATTACTGCTTAAAACCGTTGTACAATTCATAGATCTGTGATTTTTTTTAAGGGTTAGGGTTAGGGTGGGCGTAAGTGAAAGTGGGAGAACGAGAGACAGAGATGCAAAGATGCAGAGGGAGAGTGAGTGAGATAGAGAGAGAGAGAGAGAGAGAGAGAGAGAGAGAGAGAGAGAGAGAGAGAGAGAGAGAGAGAGAGGGAGATGACAGGACAGGAGCCTCTAGAGAGAGAGAGAGAGAGAGAGAGAGAGAGAGAGAGAGAGAGAGAGAGAGAGAGAGAGAGAGATAATGAGAGAGAGAGGGAGATGACAGGACAGGAGCCTCCATGAGACATTATAACACCATTCCTTTCCCCTCCCCCCCGGCAGGTGTCAGCTTGAGGAAGCGTCTCTTCAGACAGGCTTCCGTCTCCGGCAGCACCTCCACCATCAACGACGACCTCCCCCAGCTAGTGCACGGAAGCTCCCGCAGGCGGCGCTACTCGAGCAGTAGCAGCTGGAGCTCATCGTCTGCCTCGCCGATGAAGGAACTACGAGGTTTAGCACCGAGTAATGGTGATGCTTGCATCATTATTATTTATTACTATCAGCTATTACAACTAGCATGTATTACTAGTCGTCTATTACTGCTATCATATCATCTTTATTAAATTTAATGGTCATAGCAGTTAGTTCTTTCCCCCGCGACGAAGTCGGCGGGGATACTATGGTTTCATGTCTGTCCAGCCGCTCGCCGCCGCCGCAGACACATTCCCTTCCGCTCTATAACTCGACCCTTAATTAACCTAGCATGACCAAACTTGGTATATACTTACACATCTTGGGAAGAAGGTGTGTCGCGTATAAAAACCAGGTCACTGCGACCTTTATTTGACCTTGGCCTTGACCTTGATCATATTTCCCCTCCGCTCTATAACTCGGCCCCTAATTGACCTAGCGTGACCAAACTTGGTATAGTTACACATCTTGGGAAGAAGGTGTGCCGTGTACCAAAACCAGGTCACTGCGACCTTTATTTGACCTTGATCATATTTTCCTTCTGCTCTATAACTCGGCCTCTAATTGACCTAGCGCGCCCAAACTTAGTATAGTTAAACATCTTGGGAAGATGTGTCGCATGCCAAAACCAGGTCACTGCTACCTTTATTTGACCTTGACCTTGACCTTGACCTTGACCTTGATCATATTTTCCTTCCACTCTATAACTCGGCCTCTAATTGACCTAGCGCGACCAAACTTAGTATAGTTACACATCTTGGGAAGAAGGTGTGTTGCGTGCCAAAACCAGGTCACTATGACCTTTATTTGACCTTAACCTTGAAATTGATCATATTTCCCTTCTGCTCTATAATTCGGCCCCTAATTGACCTAGCGCAACCAGATTTGGTATAGTTACACGTCTGAGAGAGAAAGTGCGCATTGGCACCTGTCTTTGACCTTTACTCGCCGACTTAGTTTAACCCTAATCAACATACGTTCGTACGGAGATATTTCATTCATACTAGATCGCTGGGGATACATGTAGATTTCTAGTTTTAGTACAGTTTTAGTTTTTCCATCATTTCTCCGGTTTTTTCTAACTCGCCTCCTCCCCTCCTCCCACCCGCAGGTCGCTCTCGCATCAAGGACGATCGCGTCGTCTACCTCCGCACCCAGGGGGCGCCGTTCTCCATCTTCTCGGTGCTCTCCTACAACAAGGCTCGCGAGCGCGTGATCGTGCGCTGCGGTGGCGCTGCATCGGTCGCCGCGGGCGAGGCGGCGGGGGGGCGCCGCCGACACGCGTCCACGTCGCGGATGGACGGCAGCGACATCCTCGCGATGGCGGGCGTCGAGCCGACTCCGGACGACGACGAGGCGTCCTTCGCCGCCTACCTCGTGCCCCGCCGCCGCGAGTCCCACGAGGGGGCGCCGGCGGGCGACACCGACCCCGACGCCGCCGACCCCGCGGGCGACTACGATCCGAGCCGGCTCGACAACCCGGAGCTGATCGCGGGGCGGCACCGCACGACGCTTCGCTTCTGCTCGCACCTCGCGTCTGTCATCGACTACGTTCGACCCGGCGAGCTGAAGGCCGAGCTGAATGCCAAGTTTGCGGCGAGGCACCCGCGCATTGATCTCACGCTCAGCAAGCTGCGCAGCCTCAAGCGAGACGTGAGGCGCACGGCGGCCGACGCGGGGCTGGACTTGTACACGGTCGCCGCCGCGTACGTCTACTTCGAGCGCACGGTCCTTCTCGGCTGCCTGAACAAGGCGAACCGCAAGTTTGTCGCGGGAACGGCACTGCTGCTCTCGGCAAAGCTCAACGACTGCAAGGGCGAGCAGTTGACGGCGTTGCTAGGGGCGATCGAGGATCGGATGCGCGTCGACAAGCGAGAGCTGCTCGCGTACGAGTTCCCGCTGCTCGTCGCGCTCAAGTTCGCACTGCACACGCCCGATGCCGAGGTCTCGCCGCACTACCAGCGGCTGCTCTACGAGACGTGACCCCGCGCGCGTGAGACATGATGCCCGGCCCGAGATGCGATCCCGTGAAACACCCTTCCCCCCCAGCACCGCGAGATGTGACCCCACTGTAACTTGACCCCTGACCATTGTCTGACCTACAGTTTATAACATAGCAACACTTTACCCTGACTCATGACATGTGACCTTCGACCTACGATGTACGACCTTCTACCTTATCAGACACGACATACATTATTGAAGGGGACCTCTGACCTGCTACGTTGTCGTAAATTTTCTAATAACATAGATGGCAATACGTTGCTTGGCCCAAAGTATTTTTAATTCGCCACCTGCATGGTGTACTAACGATAGTGTGCTGCGTTGATGCAGCGATGTGTAATTAGCGCTCATGGTCAAGTACTGCAGAAATGCTGCACATGCCTTCGGTTGGGCAAGCATGTACCCAGATGCGCACACACACGTGCTCACACGCACGTGCATGTGCGCACATTTACTGGAATGATCGAGTAAAATAGTGACTGACAGACAGGCGTGAAGGTAATTGGGTATTATGTTCTCTATCCGAGATGCAGGGAGAAAGAAGACCAAGAAGACGGATGTCACACAAAACACTTCTGTATTTTAAAACTGCCATTTGTCCGAGAGCACCCGGATGTACAACGTATTTATTACGTCTAGTTTACACAGTGTTCTCATTTGGAACCGGCCACCGGCCGAATTGACCGTCTACTCTGCTGTTTCGGCCGGTTACAATTGGCTCAAGTATGATATATAAAAAAAATAATAATTTTATTTGCATTTAGTTTGCTCTAATTATTCTCCTAAGTGAAAGTGTTTTATGAGCTATTACTAATAAATCAGTTGAGTATATTTGTATGCATGTGATGTGCACAAAAAGCATTGTTTTGTTTTTGAGTAACGCTATTTACGTACTTAATTGTCTAACTCTTATAATTACTAAATCGTCATAATTTGGAAACTTTTGGTGAACTCTGAATGTACCAGGAGAAACCAAATTGGAAAAAAGGACCATACTGTAATCCAAATGTGTTTGTTTACTCAGCTTTACTGCAGCTCAGAATACACAAGATTGCATCTCAGAGCATCTAGGTTTAAAAAAAAATTGTGGGTGGTACCCCCAAACCCCCCGCCCGCACTCCCCCACGGCCTGTTGCAAAAGCATTTCGGCCTGTTACTGAAAAACCTGGTTTACATGGCCGTATATAGATGGTGTATCACTAGTTAAAGAAACACTGTACGGCAATTACTGTAAACCCAGCTCAGTACATGACAACTCCTCCCCTTTTAGTTAGGAAACACCATTGATCAACCAGAAAATTATTCTCAAAATCCAAAATGCCCAAAACAAACACAATAATCGTTACAAGGAAATGTACCAATGAACACACTACACATACTGGTGTACTACTCTACAATACTAACACGCCCAATGTGCACCTTCTTAACTGGTAAAACACATCAACTTGAAACCCTGAAAAGACGATGAAAATGGTAACTCTGGCTTTAGCCTGTAAACAACCTCCACGATTACATGCTTAGAGATCAACAATCACACGCGGTATACGGATACGTGTAGATCTGCGCGGTATCAGGACAAATACCCCCCGGACAATCACCCCCCGGACAATTACCCCCATGCCATTCAACACCCCGGACAGAACTCACCCCCGGACAATTACCCCCCGGAGCATTTACCCCCCGGAACATTTACCGCTCGCGGACACTTACCCCCGGACAATATCCCCCGGACATTGTACCCCCCACGGACATTCGTACCCGGTACCAATTTACCCCCGGACTTACCCCCGGACAATAACCTCCCGGAGGATCTTTACCCCCGGACAATTACCCCCGACATTACCCACGGACATTACCCCCGGACAATTGCCCCTGCGACAATACTCCCCATGCCCATTACCCCCCGGACAATCCGCCTGGACAATACGCCACGGGACCATTTACCCCGGACATTTACCCCGCGGACAATTACCCCCCGGACAATTACCCGCGACCAATTATACCCCAGGGACCATTTTACCCGCGACGAATTTGACCCCCCGGACAATTACCCCGGACATTTACCCCGGACAATTACCCCCGGCGACATTATACCCCGGACATTACCCCGGACATTTAGCTCACTTGTGTTTGATTATTCATGTTTGGAACAGTGTACAGGCAGGAGCGTCGGAGCGAGGGGAAGAAGGTGTGAAGGAGGATGGGGAGAAGGTGAGGAGAGAGGGGGCGATTGAGAAGTGAGGAGGAGGAGGAGAGGGTTAGAGACGAAGAGAAGGTAGAGGAGGAGGAGAAGGTGGCTGGAGGGGAAGGAGGAGAATAAAGATGAGGAGGTTAGAGAGGAGAGGTAGCGTAGGGAGGGCCAGGTGGTGGTGGTGGAGGAGGTAGGAATGAGGTGGGGAGGAGGAGGAGGAGAGAGAGGTTAGGCAGAGGAAGAGGAAGCATGGCAGGAGGGGGAGAACGTGGGGCGGAGAGGCAGGAGGAGAGAGGAGAGTAGAGGCGCCCTCTCAGTGCATAGTTGCATACACGTAGTGCATAGTGCACAGTGGCATAGTGAATGTGCATGATGCGTAGTTGCATACACTGTGAGTGCATGATGCACGAGCGCATCTAGCCATAGTGGGCATAGTGCGATCGTGCATAGCGCATACTTGCATAGTGCATAGTGCATCGTGCATAGGCAAATACACCTGCTAGATGCTAGTGCAGGAGTGCATAATGATATTAGTGCTGATAAGTGCATACACTGGATTGTGCATTAGTGCAGGAGTGCATAGTGCATAGTGCACAACACTGTAGTGGCATTAGCTACAGAGTGCATAGTGCTACACTGGTAATGCATTGTGCATAGTGCAGTAGCATAGTGCATAGCGCATTAGGATCGTGCAATACACTTGCTAGTGGCATAGTGAATAGCGCATTAGTGCAATATGCATATGCATAGTGCATAGTGCATACACGTATGTGCATAGTCAATCAGTGCAATAGTGGCATTCGCACTGTACGTGCATGGGCATGGTGCCTAGTGCAGTACTGCTATGGTGTATGGTGCATTGTGGCATGGTGTCTGGTGCATAGCCATAGAGAAAGTGATAGTGCACCACCGTTTATCGTGCATAGTGCATAGTGCATGGTGCATCATGCTATGATAGTCATAGTAGTACACTGCTGTCATAGTGCCGAGTACATTAGGCATCGTGCTGTGCATAGCGTGCATAGTGCTAGGGCACTGTGTGCATAGTGCATACACTGTAGTCGTGAGCACGTCAGTGCAGGCATAGTGCATAATTGGCATAGTGCATAGCTGCATACACTGTAGTGCAGATGCTTGCATAGTGCATCAGCGCATAGTTGCACTTGTGCATATCTGCATACTGCATAGTGCATGTGCATAACCACTGTAGCCGCACTAGTGCATAGTGCATTAGTGCATGGTTGCCATAGTGCATGTGCATGGTGATAGCATAGTGATATTTGGAATCGTGCTATAGTGCATAGGCATAATGGCCTAATGGATAGCTGCATAGAAATATCACTGTGAGTTTCGAGTTAATTGACGCCACGATATAACCTTATTAATTTAGCAAATATGCATTGCGCGGCTCAACCCATTTTAGGCCTTATACAGAGCCCTGTATACGGGTTTAGCCCCGTGGATGAAAAGCTGTATTTATGCCTATCATAACGTCTCGCGATCTATATAAGTTACGCTTTTCTAGAATTCTTACTATGCATAATAGATACATAGTCTTAGCGTATAAATCACTGCTGATTTCGAGTTATTGACCAAAGCAGATTACCTAATTAAATTAGCAAATTATGCACGCGCGGTCAGCCATTTAGTCCTTATACAGGCCTGTAGTACGGTTTAGCCGTTAGAAAAGTTATTACCCTATCATATCTCGCGATTCTACTAGTAAGTTACGTTTCTAGACTTTCTACAGCCATAATGTACGATGTCTTAGCTATTTAATCACTGTGATGTTCGAGTTAACTTGACCCACGATTAACCTACATTTATATTAGCAAATACTGCAACGCGCGGCGTCAAGCCCATTAGGCTTATAACAGGCCGTGTAGGTACGGGTTTAGCGTAGAAACGTGTATTTACTATCATATCTCGCGATCTATATAAGTTAGTTTGTAGAAATTTCTACTTGCATATGATACATGTCTTAGCTATAATCACTGTGTAGTTTCGAGTTACATTGACCCACGAATTACTATATTATATTAGGCAAATATTGCACGCCGGTCAAAGACCCATTGGTCTATAACAGGACCTGTAGTACGGGTTTGTAGAAAAATGTAATTTACGATCATATCTCGGCGATCTGTAATGAACTTACGTTTCTAGAATGTCCACATGCATAATGAACATATCTTAGGCTATAATCACTGTGCAGTTCGAGTTATTGACGGCCACGATTAACCTAATTAATTAGCAAATATGCACGCGCGACGCCCATTTAGCTTATACAGGCCTGTAGTACGGGTTTTTAGCCGCTAGAACCAGTGTACTACCTATCAGATCTCGCGAAAATCTATATGGAGAATACGGTTTCAGAATTCTACATGCAATAATATACACTGTCTTAGAATATCAGCTGTGATTTGAGTTAATTGACGCCACGATTAACCTAATTACATTCGCTTTATCACGCGCGTATGGCCCAATGCAATATAGGCCATTATATCGCATGTCTCGCGAATGATCGAGTATAATTCTAGAATTCACATGCGTGATGATACTTCTTAGAATAATCAATTGAGTTCGAGTTAATGACCCACCGATTAACCACCTAAAATTAGCTGTTATTCCACGGCGCGTCCAAGCCCCATAGGCTAATAAAGCCTGGTAGTACGGGTTAGCCGGTAGAAAAGTGGTATTTACACTATCCATATCTCGCGCTCTATATGAGCTACGTTTCTGAATTCTACATGCATAATGATACATGTCTTAGCTAATAAATCAACGGCGTTCGAGTTAATTGACCCACGATTAACCTAATTAATTAAGGCTGTATATTGCACGGCTCGCGTCATGCCCACTGCATAGGCTAATTATACGCAATGATCCGCGAAGGAGTCGAGTTATAAATTTTAGAATTCTACATGCGTGATATACAGTGTCTTAGACAATAATGCACTGTTGAGGTTCGAGTTAAATTGACACGACTTAACCTAATTAATCTAGCAAAATATGCCACGCGCGGATCAAAGCCATTATCTTAACAGAGCCTGTAGTACGGTTTAGAAAATGAATTTACGCTATCATATCTCGCCGATCTGTAATGAGTTACGTTTCTAGAATTCTACATCATAATGATACAGGTCTTTAGAATAATCACTGTGAGGTTTCGAGTTAATTCGACCCACGATTAACGACTAATTAATAGCTTTATTCAACGCGCGTCATGCCAATGCATAAGCTATTAATACTCATGTCTCGCGAAGGAGTCGAGTTATAAATTCTAGAATATCTACATGCGTGATGATACATGTCTTAGAAAATATCATTGTGAGTTTCGAGTTAATTGACCCACGATTCACCCTAATCTAATTAGCTGTTATTCACGCGCAGTCAGCCCATAGAGCTTCCTAAAGGCTGTAGTACGGTTTAGCCCGGTAAGAAAAGTGTATTTACCTATCATATCTCAGC